TAAATAAAATGGGTTGTAACAAAGCACGTGTTCTACTTATTTTGCAACGTCAATACTACTACATATGTTCATTTTTTTCTGAAATGATCTGAATCAATGGGTGAGAGTTTCCGTGTGAATCTTAATCTCTTTATTAAGCTATAGATCTCAATGTATAGAACGCTTGTGATATCCAATATCTACGAACACAAATAAAAGAAAAGTACACTTAAGTAACGACATTTAAACCAAGTTCTATAATCATTCTACGATAAGGTTTCTAATGAAGTTACAAAAGTATAGTTACAGTTAAAAAATTACTCTATGTTCTACAAATTACGGATCTTCAATGAAGTCTTCCCCTAAAAAGTGTCGTCTAATGTCACTTTAAGGACGATAATAAAGAAAATTTCTACAGAACTATCATGGTCGAACTACATAAAAGGAAGGCATAGCCGCATAGGACCAATCTATTCTGTGTTTCCCTATAATTACCAGTTAAAACATACAGATAAAAGTTTAGTGTATGTCTTAAAGAATTCAGGTTCTTCAGTGAAGTCTTCCCTAAAAGAGTGTCTTCTAAAGTCAACTAATAAGATAATTTTTTGATAAAATCATATTTGGTACTTCAAAGAAGCCAAGTATTGGTGTACATAGGATAGACAAAATAAGTCCCATTCAAGCAGTGTATATGATTAAAAGTTTCAATGAACGGCAGAAGTAAAATCACAAATGTTTCCAAGAGCCTATGGAAATGCAAAATTGGAATTAGGGCAAGAGACAAAGTTTGGGTAGGATAAGTGAATTGTTCTGTGATGATTAATGCACGCATGTGAGTAGGTGGGTACGTGATGATTTGTCCTTGTAGATAGGTGACAATATATATTATTATCAACTATTATAACAGTATATCTATACTAGAGACATTCACAACTATCAAAATTCATTTCAAGATATGTCTTTTCCATCCAGATTATGTGGTAGTGAGGATTCTAGGCCTCAAAGGGGTTGGGCTAATCAAAGAATGCTACATTAAACTCGATATGACTAGCATAAGTTAGAATATTATAGTATCGGTTGGTAGGTCATGATTTGGTTCCGAACTAGGCTAAAGCCGGATATGAGGGTTAGGAGTCGATTCTATATATAGATCGGTCTAATGAATTAGTTTACAAGAAGAATGAAATAATAAGCACCAATTCGGTCAAGCAACTAAACTGCCCTTAGAGAGGACGCCTAACAAAGGAAGCTAGCCTATTAGTCATTCTAGCCAAGACTGAATCTCTATCTCTTAGTTAAAGACATCTTCTCATGAAAAGAACCTTTGTGTGCTATATATGCAAAACTTGAAAACCCTTTTAATTCGGAAACAAAATAGGAAACAGATGACAATATCGAGTAGACCAGTTTAACTACTCAATATATATATATATGCTATTAGGTATGATTTTTGTGTTTTATTGAGTAGACCATACTCTTAAAAGAGAATTACTTCAGCAGAATCTCCAAGCTAGTGTTTGTATTTTTCCAAGTGATTAATAATGTATTAAAATTGCTATACAGTTGTCAATGATAATTACATGGTTGTCTCTTATAAAAAAAAGTGGGTGAATATTGCTCCTTTACTCTCATATTAGAACCCCTTAAACTTATTTTGTACGTTGCAACAGTACAAAATATTTCAATTGGATCATTGCTCAAGAATAATGTAATTATATGTTCAAATAGATATAGCAATCAATCAAATCAAGAAAAAAAAAACACATTAAAGTCGATCGATAATATATTTTAATTTGTCATTTATTGCTGTATACAAATAGGACATCTTATGAATATGGAAATAAATAAATAAAAAGTAGTCCTCTGTTGGCGAAGTACAATACTCATTTTGGCAAGAAAATGTTTGAGAATCGGTAAATTAATTACTTGTTCCCACGTTGTAACTCTCGCAGGCCTATAAAAAGGTTTGTCAACACAACCTTCGCCCATAATGCGGGAGCTTCTTTGGAATGTTACTATGACTTACAGCAAAAAGACATTTTATTTTACTTCATTCAATATTTAAAATTAAATTTTAATAACTTCAATATTTTTGTTGGGGTTCTAAGCTTTTCAACGATATCGCTTGAAATAAATAATTTTAGAAACAATGGTCTTTGAAAATGTAAGGCTAGGAACACACGATATTAATCGTAAAGAAACAACAATGATAGATCTAACATTGAATAAAGAGTGCAGAAAATTAAAGAAAATATAAGTGATTTCTTTCGGTCTAAGTCGCGAAGGTTCGGCGACCGCTTCTAACGTCTACATCCCCCATTGAGTATCCAATAGATTGTATTTGTGCACGGTTTCACTATGTAGCCAAAAATGACAATAAATGTTACAAAATATTCAATCAAATCACCGAGTACAAAACAAAAACTTATCTCTCAAAATACAACAATCGATCCACAAGATTCATCAAGAATCTCTTCAAAACCCCTGAAACAATAACTTGAGAAAACACAAACTCTTTTACAGATATTCACTTAGAATATCATTACACAAATGATAAATATTACAGATCAAAAATCTCAAATCAGGAATTTGAGAGAAGAAACAAAAGAGAAAACCAAAACCAGGAAACTCCTTCAAACGGTGCAAAAGAGAGAATGAAAACCCTAGAAGACCAAATGTCATATGAAAATTCACAAATAATAGAAGTCTCCAAAAACAGATCAAACGGCTCAAATGCAACCACGTGTCTCAATCCAGTTAAAGGTGCATTTTTAATAAAATTGCAACACCCAAAAACACGACTTCAATTCACAAATTATGGGAGCACCACTCGGACCGGAGTTCGAATCCCACAGAAAACTATAAAGAACCTTTAGGATTCATGATTTCACTCTAAGTTTGATAATACACTAACTCAAAAGAATGTAGAAATAGTATTAAATTTGTCATTTCATATCTCCAACGACACATTTGTAAACATCCTAAAATTCCATCAATATTACCATAGAGAAAGTTAATTTCATTTTAATTTTTTAAATTTAAGAAAAGTAAGAAATTACTAATTATAAGAGAAAAGAAATATATAAAAGTAGTCTATTTTATTTAATAATAGATAACAAACCAAAGGGAGCTGAAAATTCATCTGAAGACACTTCAAACTACTTAGGCCCCGTTTGATTGGCAAANATTCATCCGAAGATACTTCAAACTACTTAGGCCGCGTTTGATTGGCAAAATTTTTCCATGTAACTAGGAAATTTTTTTCCGTTTTCCATCTTTTGTGTTGTTTGATAGCCTAAATTTTTCACGAAAAATATTCCCCCCCCCCAAACACCCGCCACGTCAACATTTTCCATGTTTTTAGTGTGGGAAAATTTTTTCCAGCCGGCTGCTCAAATTTTTATTTTTTTGGCAATGAAAACAAATATCATAACCAATTGTAACAAAAAAAATTCACTTTAATGGACAATTTCCATGTAAAACAAAATCAAACGAACACTAAATTTTGATGAAAAAATGATTTTTTATGAAACAATTTTTTTTTCGTTATTTTTTTTTTACTTTTTGGCAATGGAAACAAATTTTTAACCAATTGTGGAAAAAAATATCACTTTCATGGACAATTTTTATGTAAAACAAAGCCAAACGAATATAAAATTTAAAAATTTTTCAGGCGGAAAATTATACCAATCAAACACACTTGAAATCATTTTCTCTCCAAAACATTTTTTAGGCAAATCTTTTCCATGTAAAATATTTTCTTTCCACCCATTTTCCACCCTTACAATCAAACGCACCCTTAGGGATAATTGACATGGAAATTTGCGACAATGTATTTGATATGTAATTTCTGTGCACGTTAAAATTCATCTGAAGGCACATCAGTAGTTTTTCTTCTTATTTTGAGTTTAATCATCTGATAATCTCTTATATCAGCTTTAACTTTTATCAATGAAATAAATTTACTTTTTGAGTGCCTCAATGAAATTATAAATCGTGAAAGAGGGAATAAATGTATTTATTTTTAAAATACGAGAACATACATCTCTTGTAAAATAATCTGGGATGAGATTGCCTGAATTGTTACGTACACTTGTCCATGCTCGACTCCTGATTTTTTAACTTCTAGGTAAATAATAGTGTAAGATAAAATTTATCCATTTTCTGGAGACTGTGATCTGAGCGAGATTGAAAGATCAGTGGTGAGACATTTCGAGAATCATCGAAGCTAAAGAATGTGTCGTAAGTAGTGTATTATTTATACAGTTTGTGTTATATTATTAGCTGTCAAATGCTTCCAAACACATCTCACGGGGGATTTTTAGACACCTCTCTCTTTTGTCAATTTGTCCTTCTGTAGTATTCTTAAAAGCTGTCCTATATATAATTGTTTAATTTGTTTGAGTTTCATACGTTTTTACCCACTTGTTTTAAGATAATGCCTTGATCAGTTCGAAAAGTATCTTTCATTTACTGTTGGTGCAATTATAGGTCATGGAAGCTTTGTATGTGTATACACACACACAAAATATTAGCTCATAAAATATTTTCTTCAGTGGATAATAAATCAACTCGTCGAGACGATGATTAGCGAAGAAGTTGGGGAGTTATGTTTTTGTTAAGATAAGTTATAAACAGGGAAAACAGAATATTGTAATCAATAACATGTTTAATAGAACACTGGAAAGTTTACTTATAATCACAAGAATTTTGTAGGTTTAAATTTTACCTAAATTTATGAAAATTGTTTACAAGTAAATGAACATTTGTAAGCACGATAATGAAATGTTTTTCTTAATTAAAAATCTGAGCAGATTACCTGTAAACTGAGGGCAAAATTGCCATATGGCTAAAACTACTCCAATTATGTATATCATGAAGGAAACAAACAAATAAATCATACATGTTTTTGGAAGCTCTATCTTCCTTTAAAATACCTCCAAATCCTGTTGTATAGTCCATTGATTGAGTGCTTCTGTGTGTGTTAGTGGGACAGAGAGAAGAGCAAAGAAGAAGGAAAGATGGATTCGAAAGAGCACAAAAAGGCCACTCTATTTCAGAAATTGGAACAGCTTCGTTCTGCTAGTAATTCCACTGCTGTGCGTATAGAATTACTGAACCTTTTCAAATCTCATTGATTTCTTCTTTCTCTTTTGATATCTTAAACACATCTTCTGCAAAGCCTAAGGCTATCATATAAACAAAAGGATGAATAATATTCTCAATTTTCCTTTTCCTTTTCTTAAGAACTTCATATTGGTTTTCCATATGAATGGGTAAAAAGGAGGAAAACCGGGTCAAACGTAGGTACTTCCCTTGTCAGATGTTATTAGTTGACAGTTGGATGAGAGGGAGCGGTGGAGGCAGGGGGGACTCTAATTAATGTAGGGAAATAGTCCAGGTTCTTAGTTTATGTACTCCAACATGAAATTAATGTTCCGTGTATTGTTTTCTTCACCTCCAAATAACATGAATTCTGAAAGTTGGTGAATAGTGAATTTTGGGTGAAAATTTTTCTAAGTTTTCTCTTTATTACAAATTAAACTCCTATATACAGGCTTTTTCTCCTTGTTTACAGTAAATAATTGTGGTCTTACAGATGAATACAGCATCAATAGTTGTAGATGCAACAAGATACATTGAGGAGCTGAAGGAAAGGGTTGGAAAACTGAATCAAGATGTTGCAACTTTACAAAATTCAAATGAAGAAAACTCCTTACCAGCGGTATACTTTTCATTTTTCAAATTACGACTCATTTTTTTTTATTATTATTTTTTTCCTGCTTTTGCCTTTATGTTCTTTCGTGATTCAGTTGACAGAAAATTTGACAGCGTTTTAAGAAATATTTCTATTGCATTATACTCCAGCAGGTTAAAGTTGTTGGGAATTTAGAGTAGCAGAGTATTGAAAAAAAGGAAAATGCAGAGAGAAATTAGGACTCACAAATGCAGAGTATTCAAGTTGTGTGCTGTGCATTTTATTTCAGAATAGACGGTGCCTATTTATAGGCTTACAGGCAAACTGAACTAGCTAAAAAATCTCAACTAATATCAGATATTATTGCCACTACTTTCATACTTATTTACTAACCAAAAACAGTGAATTAAGGAGCAAGAATCTGCAGAAAAAAATGACTATCAAAGACTAAGTCAAAGTTGAATAATTTTTGAATCAATTTTCAACACTGCCCCTTGATTCAAAATTGCACACACCAAGTAGTGATCTGAAGTAGACATGTTTTTGAAATGATAGAGCCTTTGTAAATATCTGCCAATTGTTCATTTGTGTTACAAAACTTCAGTACGATCTCTTCTTTTGCCACCAGGTCACGAATAAAATGAAAGCGAATGTCTATGTGCTTTGTTCTTCCATGAAATGCGGGATTTTTTGTCATTGCAATTGTGGCTTTGTTGTCACAGAAAATTTCAGTTGCACTTTCTTGCCTTTGATGAATATCTGCAAGAAGTCTCCTAGGCCATATACATTGACAGGCTGAAGGAGTAGCTGCAACATACTCTGCCTCTGAAGATAATAGTGCTGTTGTAGCTTGTTTTTTCGAACACCATGTAATTGCACCTGAACCAGGACTGAAAATATTGCCTGAAGTGCTCCTTCTATCATCCAAAGAGCCTGCCCAATCGCTATCAGTAAAACCATAGTCTAAAATCTGAAACATGAGTGTACCAAATTCCATAATCCAATGTTCCAGCAACATAACGTAGGATCCTTTTTGCAGCTCCAAAATGATGCTTTGAAGGATTACACATAAACCTTGAAATAACACCCACAGAGAATGAAATATATGGTCGAGTATGAGCCAAATAAATCAAACCTCCAACTAAACTTCTAAAACTCCTTGGATTAGCATTTTCAGTACCATCTTCAAGCTGCAATTTTTCATTCACATTCATTGGTGTAGCTACAACCTTGCAATTTACCATATTAAATCTTTTGAGCAGGTCTGTTGCATATTTCCTTTGTGAAATAAAAACTCCATCTTCACCTTGCTTCACTTCAAGCCCAAGGAAATAATGCAACAAACCTAAGTCTGACATTTCAAACATATTCTTCATACTAGATTTGAATTCAGTTATAAGAGAGTGAGTTGAGCCCATGTAAATTATGTCATCAACAAAGAGGCAGACTATAAGAAGATCATTTTTACCTTGCTTCTTCAAGTAAAGTGTAGGCTCATTTTCACTCCTTTCAAAACTATTTTGTAGAAAATACGAATCAATCTTGCTATACCATGCTCGTGGAGCTTGCTTTAACCCGTAGAGTGCCTTTCTTAGTTTGTACACCTTTTCTTCTTTGCCGTTGACTATGAAACCTTCAGGTTGAGTAACATAGACCTCCTCTTCCAATTCACCATTCAAAAAAGTAGACTTTACATCAAATTGATAAATTGGCCATTGTAGTTGTGCAGCCAAGGCCAAAAATGTTCTCACGGTTTCAAATCGAGCAACGGGAGAAAATGTTTCTTCGTAATCAATACCATGTTGCTGTGAGTATCTCTTTGCTACTAGTCGAGCTTTGTGCTTCTGTATAGTTCCTACTGCATGATACTTTGTTTTGAAAATCCATTTGAAGCCAATAGCATTTTTTCCATTAGGCAAGTTTGTCAACTCCCAAGTTTCATTTCTTTGTATTGCCATGAGTTCTTCCTTCATTGCATTTTGCCATTCCTCCATTTTTGCCGCTTCTTCATAAGTTGTAGGATCTGTAACAAATAAAGCAAATGCACCAGATTCATAGATTTCTTTCAAAGATCTGAATTTCCTTGGAGGTGTCTCATCGGATGACTCATTTAAGGAAGATGAGCTGATGTCTGTTGAATTTGTAGTAGATGAACTTGGAGAATTTGCTGGGCTGCTACTACTTGAAGATGAGGGAGAGGAATCTGTTGAGTTACTACTTGAAGATAAGGGAGAGGAATTTGTTGAGTTTGCTACTATTGGGTCCACTATTTCATTCAATGAGGTTTCAAGTTGAGTTCCATCGCTATTGCTATTCCAATTCCAACATGCTTCTTCATTAAAAATTACATTTCTACTAACAATCACTTTGCCACTAAGAGGGTTATATAATCTATATGCTTTGGATTCAAGACAATAACCGACGAAAATGCATTTTTCAGATTTTTCATCTAGTTTTTGGCGATTTTGAGAATTTACCAAAGTATAAGCAATACAACCAAAAATTCTTAAATGGCTTACCAAAGGCTTTGTACCTCTCCAAGCTTCATGTGGTATTTGATTTAAGACAGCCTTTGTAGGAGAAATATTTAGTAGATACACTGAGGTAGTAACTGCTTCTGCCCAATACTGATTTGGAAGTCCCTTGCCTTTTAGTAAACTTCTTGCCATTTCAACCACAGTACGATTCTTTCGTTCAACCACTCCATTTTGCTCTGGTGTGTAAGGTGCTGTTAATTCCCCGCGAATTCCATTTTCTTCACAAAAGTGGTTAAATTCATTAGACAAGAACTCACCACCTCTGTCTGTACGAAGAGCTTTTATGCATGAGCCACTTTGTTTCTCTACTAAAGCCTTGAATTTCCTGAAATTCTCGAAAGTTTATGATTTGTACTTCAAAAAATACACCCAGCTCATGCAACTGAAATCATCAATAAAAAGTAGAAAATAACAACTCCCGCCCAATGATTCTGTGTTCATAGGTCCACACAAATCAGCATGAATTAATTCAAGACAAGTAGAAGCCCTCCAAGCCTTTCCAGTAGGGAATGGTTTTCTAGTTTGTTTCCCATAAATGCATCCCTCACATAAATCAAAAGAATCAATTTTTGGTAATCCAAGAGCCATATGTTTTTGGCCCAACAATTTTAGCCCCCTGACATTAAGATGTCCATACCGTAGGTGCCACAGTTTTGAGTTATTCTGTTCACCAGCAACAAGAGCGAAATTTTCCACATTTGAGGCTTCAAGTGGGAACATTTTATTTTTGGTCATGTGAACATTAACCATTGTTTGTCCTGATTGTTTATCTTTAATAACACATGCTCCATCATCAAATAAAACTGAATATCCACTAGCCATTAATTGCCCAACACTTAATAAATTATGTGCCAAACTATGAACGAATTGAACGTTATGCAGAAGTTTTACTTTACCGTGGCTAGTTTTGATTGCTACTGTGCCTTTTCCTTGAACCTGAATTTCTTTATTATCACCAAGCTTGACATTCATTTTTTGAGTCTCATCAAGCTCTTTAAACAACTCCTTCATCCCTGACATATGATTGGAACATCCACTATCTACAAACTATACACCACCTGGAACTTCATTAGCGTCATAATGGGCCATGAATAACTTACCTTCTTCCTCAGTTTCTTCTACATAATTCACTTGTCTCTCCCTATATCGGCAATCTGCTTTTACGTGCTCGAACTTCTTGCAATGATGACATTGGATGCCACTTTTAAAGCCGTTTTGCTCATAGGTGGAGTGCCTTTGTTCAAAACCTCTTCCTCTACCTCGACCACGACTTTTTCCATGAAATGCACCTCTGCCACGTCCTCTTCCTGCTGTCCTATCAAACTCTCTTGAATTGAATGCCTCCCCTTCACTTGAAATGCTTTCTCTTCATGTTTTTCAACTGACCTATTTATCCTTGCCTCATGAGCTTGCAAAGATCCCATCAATTCATCAAATGAAAAATTTGACATGTCTTTGGACTCTTCAATTGCAGCTACAACATGATCAAACTTAGGAGTTAAACTCCTTAACACTTTTTCAACTACAGTTTGATCAGTTATTTTGTCTCCATATGACCTCATTTTACTTATAATTGCCACCACTCTAGACAAAAAATCCTGCACTGATTCATTGCCTTTCATGAGTAAAGTTTCAAACTCATGCCGAAGAGTTTGGAGTTTCACGGCTATTACTTTTGATGAGCCTTGAAACTCAGTTTGCAAAACTGTCCATGCTTCCTTTGAAGTGTCAGCTGCTGCAATTCTTGAGAAAACAGTATCATGAACTGCTTGTTGGATGAAGAACAATGCCTTTGAGTCCGTCTTCTTGTTTTCCCTCAATCGATTTTCTTCATCTGGATCAGCAAACCCATTCTCTACCAAGTCCCATAGGTCTTGAGACTTAAATAGAGTCTTCATTTTAATACTCCAAAATTCATAACTCTCTCCTTTAAAAATAGGGATGCAGGTTGAGAAATGCTAAGTGAATTTCCATTTGAAGCCATGGTGTTTCTCTCTTCCTCTCAAGTGTTTTGCCTAACTAAGCTCAGTTGAATCTGAACCGTGCTCTGATACCACAAATGTTGGGAAATTAGAGTAGCAGAGTATTGAAAAAAAGGAAAATGCAGAGAGAAATTAGGACTCACAAATGCAGAGTATTCAAGTTGTCTGTTGTGCATTTTATTTCAGAATAGACGGTGCCTATTTATAGGCTTACAGGCAAATTGAACTAGCTAAAAAATCTCTACTAATATCAGATATTATTGCCACTACTTTCATACTTATTTACTAACCAAAAACAGTGAATTAAGGAGCAAGAATCTGCAGGAAAAAATAACTATCAAAGACTAAGTCAAAGTTGAATAATTTTTGAATCAATTTTCAACAAAAGTTGAATCGCTGGAGAAGGGCTTCTTAATTAATGTGTTTTCAGAAAAGAACAGCCCCGGATTGCTCGTCTCTATACTCGAAGCATTTGTCGAACTAGGCCTTGAAGTGCTTGATGCTGGGGTTTCTTGTTCTGATAATTTTCGTCTAGAAGCTGTTAGCGAGGTAAACACAAAAAAACTGACAGGCTAATTAAACCAACAGATTTTCTTTACTGCATTTTGCTTGTTCTGATAATTTTCGTCTAGAAGCTGGTAGCGAGGTAAACACAAAAATCTGACAGGCTAATTAAACCAACAGATATTCTTTACTGCATTTGATTAACAGTTACAACTATCAAAAAAATGGAAAAAAGGGAAAGAAATCTTTTTGAACATCACGTGCGACCTGCTGAAATCTGCCTCATAATTTGTACCACGAGTTTGAAATTTTGGTTTTTGTTGCTGACTACTTTAATATTTCAGTACAATGATATTATTTCTGCTTTTATAGATTTTGATAGTACTGCCTGCATGGAATTTAACTGCCCACACGTAATTTTGTTGGAAAATATAAGAAGAATTAATTTATTTGCAGAATGATGATGCCCAGGTTTTTAAACAAGCAGTATTGCAGGCTATAAAGAATTGGAGTGTAAGCAATGAGCAAGACTAATCTGTCTTGATCTTCTTCATTAATTTTCTCCCAAAGGCTTATTAATTATTTTCTAAAGAAGTGAAGTGTTTATGTAATTGAAATTATTACTGTCATGATTGTGACCATGCATGTATAGAATCAAAAGACTAGAACTTGGAATGTTAATTTTTACAATCATGCTATGATGCGAGGGAGGTTTTGCTACTCTCCCTGACAGCTCCCTGACAGCAAACTCACATTACGGGGAGTGGGGGAGATTTTGTGGCATTTTTTATTCACGCGGATTCCACATGTATGTGAGTGTAAGTCAACCAATTCAGCAATTTTTTTATGACAACTCAACTTAATTCTAATTTTTATGAATAATATTATATAACACCACTTATGCACAAGGTAACATAACATCACTCCTACTTATTTCAAGGTAGTGTGTAAGGGTACACATACTACTTAATGGATACTTATAACTACAACAACATTTACCATATAAACTGTATAACATTACGGCAAAATATTGCGTTGTACGACAACTATTCGTAGCATTCTTTTCAAAACTACAAGCTGTGTCTACAAGTGGACTTAAAACATGAGGTTGTACAAAAAGAAAATAGTAATGCTATTTATCCACATTGAAGATTTTCCTAATACGGCGTGATAAATGATGAGATCAATTATATCCACACATTTATTTGGTTTTATCATTTTCACATACTGTCACATTATTTGGGAATGATACGCACCGTAAACAGATAGCATTTTTCAAAAGAAAAGACAACTTTCCTTCAACACCAAAAGATCCCCTACTTGTAACACAAGTTTGACAATCATTATTTCAAAACTATTTATTCTACATACTTATTTTCAACCACATATTCGCAAAATAAAATATTCTGCACGTAAATTCAATATTTTTTCCTATTTTTTAACCACACATTATAAAAAAATTCAACATTCAAAACTTTATTTTTGCCAAATAATGGCTATCAAACAGGAGCTAATTAGCTAGCTAGCTTCATTTTTTCACATCCTAGACTGTAAGGGATGTTTACATTTATCAGATCCATGGAATCTGCACCACAGTGCCGTGGCTATCTAAGTAAACTCCTCTACGTACAGTCATGTCACCTGTGCCATCTGTAAAATGAGACGAAATGTTCCCTACAATTACCCAGCGAAGCTCAGAACCACTGCGAGTGAAAGTCCCATTGTCCTTGCAAACCTCAAAAATTTCACAAGCCATTATTATTTGAAATAATAAACGTGAATGACTATATAAACAAATCATGTGAATAAGATATGGTGCAACTGTAAACATGTAGATGAATCGCGGATGTAATTGATGTCATATTTTCTCGTTGGGCCCCAACCAAAATGATTGTACCTTGACATGATGTAAATAATAACTTAGTAACACTCACCAAATGAGTGTTATAGTGATTAAGTCCCTAAATTATAATTATAGTTTGTTTTCATATGCCCATGTTCTTTTTTATATTGCAGCTCTAGTAGCAGAAGTAAATTGTGGTTGGTGTCATTTTGTACCTAGACTAGGTAACATGGTGACCCACAAGCTTGTTCCATAGCTATTCCTTATTCAGTTAGCTTTAACTGGATCGATTGTATCCGGATCTCATTTCCCATGATGTTCATGGTGACTTAATTCAATAGATTTTCTGTTTAGGTGTTTTTTAAAAAAAAAAAAAAAAAACTTGTTAGGGTGACATTGGTGCCTCCTTAAATATAATTTTGGGATAATGTACGATAAGACATGATAGTGGTGCCATTATAATCTCTCTCTCTTTATGATACTAGGGTTGTATAATACGTATTTAATCCTTTTGAAACTAGTTTCACTTTAGTGGTTGGCCAGGTGCAAATATAGACCGTAATATATGCATTATATATCGTGAATGGTACTTGGAGATGTACGACAAATAAATCACACTTAATACATACTCATAAATTTACTCATGACAATCCTACGGTATAACTTAACAACAACTATTTATTTTGTTATCAAACTATAAAGCACAAGATCACAATGTAGAATTTCAACTATAAGAATTGAATAAAATCAACTGCTTGTTCATACTTGCATGTCTTGACATTTTAATCATATAGACTTCATTTACTTTTTCCAAACAAAAATCAAATGTACACATTTCATTCACATTTTGTTTTGTTATGTTCTTTCTCAGGTTACTTATTCAAATGGGAATGTTCCTTGCCTAAAACAACAATGAATGTCGTTGATAACTGCAAAAATTACACTTATCTATGGTATCAAAAGTGGCTTTTATTAGTTTTATAGTGAATTTGATACTTAATTATTTGTGATTTTGGATCATGTTAGGAGAAAACCCGATATTTGAGCAAATAGTGACTTGCATACCTTGAAAGATACAAAACAGAGAATCCAAGTATAACAATAGTTGGCGGCAGTTGACTGGGAATCTAATTGGCTTCAAACCAATTGAAAAGGGTTTAAAGTCTTAACTTGGCTAGGAATTCTTTCTGGACTACAATAAAAGGAGTCAGAATACGCAGCAGTACATGGACGGCAGCAGCAAGAAAGAAAGAAGGAATTCTAGATTTTGGCGTATAAAATTATCCATAACCGTGCAAGAATTTTGGAATTAATCACGTTCCATCGTCTAATTACCGCGAGATATATCTAAGCGAGGAACTAGACGAAGAACATTGTTAACATTCGTGTGACGAAGATCGACAATAGCTTGGAATGAATTTTATCTTGTTTATTGAAATTATACCCGGTGATATATTTTGACTTTTATCTATTTTATTTCAATATTATGAGTAGCTAAATATTTTAATGTTAGGATGACGATATAAGTATAACTTAGGATTTTTGGCATTTATTTAATTCCAATACTTCATGTTATTTTAATACATGATTACCATTTATTGTGCATTTAAGTCTTCAATTGCTTGCGCAATATTGATTGGTTTATGCATGATGCGGAGATCAATTGGTGATATATAATTCTAGCCCGTGTAATAAATAACCTATGTGTTATAAAAGATTGAGAGATAATTATAAGTTATGCAATCTACATAGAATTCCTGTGTATTAAAGCGTTTATGTGTGTGAATTTTCATGGAGATATATTAAGAGTCTGTCGGGATGGATTTTGTCGTGATTTGAATCCAAAATTCGACCATTGTATTACTGTAGGTGGGCCCATTTTTTGCAATAATCATTGAATCATTTTTAAAATTTTACCACCAAAGTGCCCTTTTTCTAATAAAGCATGAAATGGGAGTTAAAGGATGCAATTGTCATTCTACCCAACTTAGTCAAATATTACGACTCCCTTACACTGTTGTGTATAACAACTACAAATTCACTTATAATTTGATGCAAAATCCCTCCCGGAATAATGTTACTCGAGAGAGATCACTAGCTATAATAAGTTGATTTGATTGTTGACATATATATTAAAATGGGTTGAATGAATCGAAATTATATGAAAATTAAAACACCCTACCCGAAATTAGAAATCCTAACTACCTAATCTCGTAATTTTTTCAACCATAGCTAAGTAGATTTACTTAACCCCTGTTTTGTGGAGATTAAAATCAGATGTTTAGTAGATTTTGATAAAAATTAATGAAATGGATGATTGAAAAATTATGGAACCCATAAAATATATAATTAAAATTAATTGTTGACTTAAATTAAAATGTAGATTTTAATCCGTACCAAACAAAGACTTAGTTTTTTTTAGTTATAAAACATATCTCGAATTGATAATTGGTTACAATTTTAACATAAATTGAAGTTAGGTCAGCTTAAAAATTGATACTAAACAAAAATTACAAATTTAAATAGGTTGTTGAGGATCCTTAACAACACCAGATAAAAGGTTGATTATTTCTCCAAATTTAAAAGAAACCATCCTTGAAAAACAATTATTTTAAGATCCGTGCTACAGTGTCCGCGTGGGTGACCGTGGGGATGACCGCACACACACACATAGTGACGCCGGACAGAATAGTGATTATTCTGCAGGTTGGAACTAATTGACAAATACAGAGATGAACGCAAGAGAAACACCAAGAGAAACGATATTGAGGAGCTGAAGGAAAGGGTTGAAAAACTGAATCAAGATGTTGCAACTTTACAAAATTCAAATGAAGAAAACTCCTTACCAGCGGTATACTTTTCATTTTTCAAATTACGACTCTTTTTTTTACTATTTTTTTTCCTGCTTTTGCCTTTATGTTCTTTCGTGATTCAGTTGACCAGAAAATTTGACAGCGTTTTAAGAAATATTTCTATTGCATTATACTCCAGCAGGTTAAAGTTGAATCGCTGGAGAAGGGCTTCTTAATTAATGTGTTTTCAGAAAAGAACTGCCCCGGATTGCTCGTCTCTATACTCGAAGCATTTGAGGAACTAGGCCTTGAAGTGCTTGATGCTAGGGTTTCTTGTTCTGATAATTTTCGTCTAGAAGCTGTTAGCGAGGTAAACACAAAAAACTGACAGGCTAATTAATCCAACAGATTTTCTTTACTGCATTTGATTAACAGTTACAACTATCAAAAAAATGGAAAAAAGGGAAAGAAATCTTTTTGAACATCACGTGCGACCTGCTGAAATCTGCCTCATAATTTGTACCACGAGTTTGAAATTTTGGTTTTTGTTGCTGACTACTTTAATATTTCAGTACAATGATGTTATTTCTTTCTGCTTTTATAGATTTTGATAGTACTGCCTGCATGAAATTTAACCGCCCACACATAATTTTCTTGGAAAATATAAGAAGAATTAATTTATTTGCAGAATGATGGACAGGCCGATAGCATAGATGCCCAGGTTGTTAAACAAGCAGTATTGCAGGCTATAAGGAATTGGAGTGTAAGCAATGAGCAAGACTAATCTGTCTTGATCTTCTTCATTAATTTTCTCCCAAAGGCTTATTAATTATTTTCTAAAGAAGTGAAGTATTTGTGTAATTGAAATTATTACTGTCATGATTGTAACCATGTAAAGAATCAAAAGACTAGAACTTGGGATGTTAATTTTTACAATCATGCTATGATGCGAGGGAGGTTTTGCTACTCTCCCTGACAGCTCCCTGACAGCGAACTCACATTACGGGGAGTGGGGGGAGATTTTTTGGCATTTTTTATTCACGAGGATTCCACATTGTATGTGAGTGTAGGTCAACTAAGTCAGCAAGTTTTTTATGTCAACTCAACTTAATTCTAATTTTTATGAATAATATTAGCCCTTGTTTGACATCCATTCTCTTCACATTCTCTTTCTCATTTTTTTTCTCTTTCTTCATTTCAACCACACATTCTATCAATTAAATAATATTACACATAAACCTAAAAAATTTTCTTACTTTTTAACCACACATTCTTCACATCAATCACTATTCCAGAATTTATTCTTCTCCAAAATGGGTGTCAAACACACCCTATATAACACCACTTACGCACAAGGTAACATAATATCACTCCTACTTATTTCAAGATAGTGTGTAAGGGTACACATACCACTTAATGGATACTTATAACTACAACATTTACCATATAAACTGCCTAACATTAAGGCAAAATATTGCGTTGTTACTAAATTTAACTTTTTATGCATACATAATGAAAACATTTTTACAATAGACATAAACACATGCTATTTACTCTATAGTGTTCGTTGGATTTTATTATAATCTCTTTATAATTTAAAGTCAAATGGTAATTCTAATAACACTCACAACTACTGTTCACTTATTGTACACACATTATTGAGATCCATTATTCGTCTTCATTATAATCGCATTATAATTTTTCCCAAACAAGCACAAAGCTTGTACCACAACTACTCGTAGCATTCTTTGCAAAACTACAAGATGTGTCTACAAGTGGACTTAAAACGTTAGGTTGTACAAAAAGAAAATAGTAATGCTATTTATCCACATTGAAGATTTTCCTAATACGGCGTGATATTAAATGATGAGATCAATTATATCCACACATTTATTTGGTTTTATCATTTTCACATCACCGTCACATTATTTGGGAATGATACGCACCGTAAACAAATAGCATTGTTCAAAAGAAAAAAAAAACTTTCCTTCAACACCAAAAGATCCCCTACTTGTAACATCAGTTTGACAATCATTATTTTAAAACTATTTATTCTATATACTTATTTTCAACCACGTATTCACAAAATAAAATATTCTACACGTAAATTCAATATTTTTCCCTACTTTTTAACGACACATTATAAAAAAATTCAATATTCAAAACTTTATTTTTGCCAAATAATGGCTATCAAACAGGAGCTAATTAGCTAGCTAGCTTCATTTTTTCACATCCTAGACTGTAAGGGATGTTTACATTTATCAGATCCATAGAATCTGCACCATAGTGCCGTGGCTATATAAGTAAACTCCTCTATGTACAGTCCTGTCACCTGTGCCATCTGTAAAATGAGACGAAATGTTCCCTACAATTACCCAGCGAAGCTCAGAACCACTGCGAGTGAATGTCCCATTGTCCTTGCAAACCTCAAAAATTTCACAAGCCATTATTATTTGAAATAATAAACGTGAATGACTATACAAACAAATCATGTGAATAAAATATGGTGCAACTGTAAACATGTAGATGAATCGTGGATGTAATTGATGTCATATTTTCTCGTTGGGCCCCTACCAAAATGATTGTACCTTGACATGATGTAAATAATAACTCAGTAACACTCACCAAATGAGTGTTATAGTGATTAAGTCCCTAAATTATAATTATAGTTTGTTGTCCTATGCCCATGTTCCTTTTTATATTGCAGCTCTAGTAGCAGAAGTAAATTCTGGTTGGTGTCATTTTGTACCTAGACTAGGTAACATGGTGACCCACAAGCTTGTTCCATAGCTATTCCTTATTCAGTTAGCTTTAACTGGATCGATTGTATCCCGATGCTCATTTCCCATGATGTTCATGGTGACTTAATAGTTAATTCAATAGATTTTCTGTTTAGGTGTTTTTTAAAAAAAAAAACTTGTTAGGGTGACATTGGTGCCTCCTTAAATATAATTTTGGGATAATGTACGGTAAGACATGATAGTGGTGCCATTATAATCTCTCTCTCTCTCTCTCTCTCTCTCTCTCTCTATGATACTAGGGTTGTATAATACGTATTTAATCCTTTTGAAATTAGTTTCACTTTAGTGGTTGGCCATCTGGGTGCAAACATAGACCGTATTTATGCATTATATATCGTGAATGGTACTTGGAGATGTACGACAAATAAATCACACTTAATACATACTCATAAATTTACAACAACTATTTATTTTGTTATCAAACCATGAAGCACGAGATCACAATGTAGAATTTCAACTATAAGAATTGAGTAAAATCAACTATTTGTTCATACTAGCATGTCTTGACATTTTAATCATATAGACTTCATTTACTTGTTCCAAACAAAAATCAAATGTCCATATTTCATTCACATTTTATTTGGTATAATTCTTGTTAAATAACTTATATAATAACCGTAATATTTATAGGCAAATCTGCATATTTTCTAATTCTTGGGTACCTTAAATTGTAACTGTTGTTTTGTTTAGTAAGTTTGGCTGTGGTACTGATTCAAATGGGAATGTTCCTTGCCTAAAACAACAATGAATGTCGTTGATAAGTGCAAAAATTACACTTATCTAAGGTATCAAAAGTGGCTTTTATTAATATTATTTTGAATTTAATACTTAATTATTTGTGATTTTGGATCATGTTAGTAGAAAACCCGATATTTGAGCAAATATTGATCAAGCTGCAACTTTGGGATCAAATTTTGCACTTTTAGAAATCAAAGGATTGACTTGCATGCCTTGAAAGATATAAAACAGAGAATGCAAGTATAACAATAGTTGGCGGCAGTTGACTGGGAATCTAATTGGCTTCAAACCAATTGAAAAGGGTCTAACTTGGCTAGGAATCCTTTTTGGACTACAATAAAAGGAGGCAGAATACACAGCAGTACATGGACGGCAGCAGCAAGAAAGAATTGTGCAAGAATTTTGGAATTGATCAGGCAAGGAACTAGACGAAGAACATTGTTGAGATTCGTGTGGCGAAGATCAACAATAGTTCAGAATGAATTTTATCTTGCTTATTGAAATTAAATCCGGTGATATATTTTTACTTTTATTTATTTTATTTCAACATTATGAATAGCTAAATATTTTTATGTTAAGATGACGATGTAACTTAGAATTGGAACAATTTATTGATTTATGCATAATACAGAGATCGAATGGTGATCGAGAGGTGATATATGATTCCAAATCGTGCAATAAATAACATGTGTTAAAAGAGATTGAGAGATAATTATAGTCTTTGCAACCTACTTAAAATTCCTGTATATTAAAGGGTTTATATGTGTGTAATTTTCATGGAGATATATTAAGGCCCTGTTTGGGAGGGATTAAATTTTTCTACAGTAAATCAATTTTCATTTTCAACCACACATTTTTCAATAAAATAATATTTTCCATCACATCAATAATTCTTTTTTTCAACCACATATTTTCCATATAATATAATTTTTTCCATCACATCAATAATTTTTTTTCTTTTTCAACCACACATTTTCCTTCATTTCACTATTCAAAATCAATTCTTCCCCCAAAAATCTCTCCTAAACAATCTCTTTGCATGAGTGGATTTTGTCGTAATTTGAATCCAAAATTTGACTGTTGTATTACTGTGGATGGGTCTATTTTTTGCAATAATCATTGACTCATTTTTAGAATTTTACCAAAGTGCCCTTTTCTAATAAAGCATGAAATGGGAGTTAAAGGACGCAATTGTCATTCTACCTAACTTAGTCAAATATTACGGCTCCCTTACACTGACACAACAGGGTATAACAACTACAAATTCACTTACAATTTGATGCAAAATCCCTCCAAGACAGACACTCAATTCAGGCATATCAATAGGAATAATATCACTCGAGAGTGATAACTAGCTTTAATAGGCTGATTCAATTGTTGACACGTATGAAAATGGGTTGAATGAATTGAAATTATATGAAAATTAAAACTGTCTAAGTAAAATTAGAAATCCTAACTATATTGTTGACCCCAAAAAATGAATTCAACAGATACCGGGCTCACTCTCGCCATGTTAAGTACCGGTCCGGCACGTTTCTACCGGAATGCAATTGGTAGCTTTACTGTTTATGGACGTGGGAGGTACTTTCTAGCGAGAGACAAAAATGTTTGGGTTCCGATAGTAATATGTAAAGGGAATCACGCTAACAATTTGTTTTACACCTGACAAACAAATTCTTCTTCTCTCATGGAATATGTGGAATGATAGATATGATACGAATCAAGATATCTTTTATTTTTGATAACTCTCAGGCCTTTTCTTCTTCTCCCTTCTTTTTCTCTTGGGCCGAAAAATTCCTCCCTTTCATGAATACAGAGACGAACTATTTATACAACTCCGGCAAACGCGGCGACCGTTGGATCAGGTCCAGGTGGGGGCATCTCCTAAGTTGAGGCTTCACATCGCCGTCTAATCATCGTATTTAATGTTTGACTAAAGGTCAGCCACCCTAGTGACGGCTGACAATAAATGCAACTGCTCACTTTATCTCAGACATCCCATCAATCAATCCCAAAAAAGATCTTCGAATCTTCCTGAAGCAACGCCGAGTCTACGACCCTCATGGGACATTCAGATTACACTTCACATCGTCCTTGAGGGGTACCTCGGGCCGAAGCTATGAGAAGGTGTCGGTTCCTGGATAAAGGGCCTCGGCCTACTCCCATCGTGGGATTCCTGACCCATTCGGTTGTCCCCTTTGCTCCTTTCTGACCTCCTTACACGTGGCATGCCACGTGGCCAATT